CCCCCCCCCCCCCCCCCCCCGCCATGTTAAGCGGTCTGCTTAGATTTTTTTGTCTCCAGTCAGTTTTGATAAACAGTATTTTTCTGGACAATTAACTATTTCATCTAGGCTTTCAAACTGATTTATATATAATTATGCAAATGAGTCCTTTATGATTTGAATGTTTTTACCTGTTACATTCCCTAATCCTTAAAAACTACAGGTTCTGGGTGTATCTTTCTAAAGTTCCATCATGGTCCATGGGACAAAAATTTATAAATCTCTGTGTGTGTGTTTGTAATAGTGTTATTGAACGCATACTTTTCTGTCTTATCTAGCTAGCTAGCTATTTATCTCGCCATCTAACTATTTATCTTGCTATCCTGGTATCTATGTATATTTCACTTGGTAGAGAGAACAAAGGGCATCTACAAAGCATTTGCATTCCTGATGAGAGAATTGATTGGGCTGTCCTTTTCTTCTCCTTTCTGCCTTAGGCTAAGACATGGTACCATTTTGCAACAACAGGAGAGAAGCCAAGAGAACTGTGGAGGCATAGGCTCTGCCATTGATGAGCTGCTGAGATAACACCAGGAAACACCTACCTCCGGAATTCTTGGTAAGTAAGAGGTATAAGCCTCTGTTTGTGCAGCTCCAAGTCAGGGTTCCATTATTTGCAGCTGAATACATTCCTAACTGATAGAGGAAGTAAGATAGGTGAAACCAGACAGTTTTAGTTGTTCATAGTATGTAAATGTTTATATACAGAAAAATTATTGTAGAGACACCAAATTCGCCAACTCTAAGTTAGGAACCGGAGTAGCAATTTCACAAATTAAGTGCGTATCGCATGGCCTTTTTAGTGTAACCATTGTTAAAAGCATGATTTGCATAAATTATTCACAATGTTTTAGATGTATTTTACCTTTTTCATTTTTGTACAATGGGATACAGATTGGTTACATCTTGTACAGATGATAGGGTATATCCTCCTAGGGTTTCAAAATGATTAAATGAGATAATCCATATAAAGGGCCTAGGACAGTGCCTGGCACATGGTAGAGTGCTCCATAAATGTTAATTATAATGTTTTAATAAGTAATATTGATTAAAGAATAGTGATGTTTGCTACTCATACTTAGATGACTAGCTCCTTGTCATCCTTTGCATTCCCATAAGAAAAGTCACCTCCTCCGAGAGGCCCTTCCTGGCTATTCTATCTCAAGTGGAATCCCTCCCCAAATAGCTCCCGTTCCCCATCACCACCATCCTGTTTATTAGCCCAGAGACCTTTTCATCATTTGTAATTCTTTTAGTTATTTATTTGGTAAATGCATGTCTCCCCTGATAGAACTTACCCATGAGAGCAGAACTCCCAGTGGCTGGCATAGGTTCTGTACTCTCTATATATTTGTTGAGTAAAAAGATCACCAAAAATGTCCAAGAAACCATTATCATAAGAGAATACCATTTGACATAGAAAGGCTGTTCTGAGGTGGTCATTTCTTTGGGGATAATTTTGCCTACATTTAAATAAAAGTGAAGGTGGGTAAAATTTCTGCCCAATTCTAGACCCTCCTCAAACTAAATAAGCCCTCAGGGGGCTTAGTGGTTTATTATTATTATTATTTTTAATCTCAAAAAGATCAGAGAATAGTTATTTTTAATATTTGGCCTCTACAGCTTTATAAAGTGGAGCACAAATTGTTACTTTTAGAAAAATATGTTGTTTTGCATTTGAGTAGGGATTAAGATTAAGTAAGATTCAGCTAACAGTTAAAAAACTAATGGTTTATTGTCATCAAATATTTAGATGAAATTCTTCATGATGTTTTGGAATTCTGAAGATCCTAGAATTTAGATTTTAAAATAGCCCTATAAGAGTTACGGTTTGGTACCAAGTCAAAGGGAAAACGAAAATGAAATTGTTTTAGTAGAAGGGATAAATCCCAAGGAGGAGAAGGGACCCTGAAACACATCTGAGTGACTGGAGGTGGCCCCATGGCAAACCTCTGAACTGGGGGTAAGGCAGGAGTGTGTCCAGTGCCATTCTCTGAGGGATGAGGATGTCCCTCTCCCCTCCCCGACCTGCTCACGACCCCCCACCCCACCCCACCATCACCACTGGATATGGAATCAATGGAGACATGCAGGATTTCCCCTTGGGGTCATGGGTCCTGGGCTCCTGGCAGCTGGCATCCAGGAGAGAAGAGCAGCAGACCTTCTCTTTTTTTCTATATCTTTTAGAACTACAGGATATTGTAGTAGCCAATGGGCTTTGGCTACCTGAGTTTGAAGCCCATTTTCCCTGCTTAACTCTTGGGGCAAGTTACTTTGGCCTCTCTAGGCCTCGTAAAATGGCAGTAATAGCTGAACGGGTCTCATTGGGCAGTGATTTAATTGGCACATAGTAGGTGGTGGATAACCGTGACTTTTATTACCCTCTTTCTGGACGTCATCACAAAGTCTCTGCCAGTTTTGACCAGCAAGGGCTGGGGGTTCTGGGATATCGTTTTCTATGTATAAATGTTCTATAGCCTGAGAATTTGCTTCCTAATTGTGATGGCTATGTGGCTAGCACTATGACAATCTTACGTGAATTATTCAGAGAAGGCTCTAGAATTTCTGTGTGGGCGGGGCATACAGACGGCCATATTGGAAGAGGGGCTTTGGGACTTTATTCTCCGCCAGCACTTAGTACTTGGATGGGTGTTTGTATGGTGGGCTGGTCTTGTACTTGTTGCCTAGGGTTTAGTTAATTGTGTTTATTTGGAGTACTTTGGACGATTATGGGAATTTGGGGACTGGTCTTCTGGCTATATTTGCATAGCAAGCACTCGTGTAGATTATATGTTAATTTGGGGGGGCGGTTTGAGGGTCATTTTGTAACGAAATCTACCTAGTAAGCCAACAATTTTTACGTGAATGAATGTTACATAGGAAGCTTTGGGAAGGTTTATGGACATGGGGTATTCGCTACTTTTTCTGCCCCCGTGGGGCATGCTTTGCTCACCTCTGGTATACTCTGCTTGAGGATTAATTGGCTGGGATTAATTTGACCTAGAAAATGGAACAGGAAGTAGGTTTTTGGCCTGAATTACAGAATCAACTTGATTAATGTCCCATTCGGCCAGTTTCAGAGGGTGCAATGATTGATGCTGGGGGCAAACTGGTCTCTCCCTCCCACCCCTCCAGGAAGCCACACCATGGGTGACCGTGAACTTAAGGGATGAGCCTGGGGGGGTGAAGGACTAGGGAGCCCAAGTGGACCTCAGGTCCAAGCCATAACCCACCAAGGATTCAGAGTTTGATGTGGGGCCCATGAGTGCTGGCGGCCACCCCCTCCCCCAACAGTGGTGGAAGATTTGTTTGTATTTCACTTCATTATGAGTGAGGTTGCATGGTTTCCCCAATGTTAATTAGTTATTTGTACCTTTTTAAAAAAGTAAAATTGCTTGTTCATGTACCTTGCCCATTTTTGCGAGAGGTGCTTGCTTATTAATTCTTCAGAGCTCTTTGCTTATTAGGGAAAGTAACCCTTTGTTACAGATTTTTACCCAGTCTCCACCCCCCACCCCATTCATATTTGATATTAATTTTTGTATGGTCATCCCCCACCCCTTTATGTTTTTTTATAGCCTCAGGTCATGCTTAGAGATGCTTCTATAAACCAAGATTTTAATTATAAAAATTGCCATTTTTAAAGTAACTTTTTGTACTTAAACATACGTGTTTGACCCACGTTGAGTTCATTCGTGTATGGAACAAGGTAGGGATAATTAGTTATTTGTACCTTTTTAAAGAGTAAAATTGCTTGTTCATGTACCTTGCCCATTTTTGCGAGAGGTGCTTGCTTATTAATTCTTCAGAGCTCTTTGCTTATTAGGGAAATTAACCCTTTGTTACAGGTTTTTACCCAGTCTCCACTCCCACCCCCATTCATATTTGATTTTAATTTTCGTATGGTCCTCCCCCACCCCAGCGCCTTGTATTTTAAATCTTAGGTCATGCTTAGAGAGGCCTTCTATAAACCAAGATTTTAATTGTAAAAATTGCCTTTTAAAAAAATTAATTATTATTACTATTTTTTTGCGGTACACGGGCCTCTCATTGTTGGGGCCCCTCCCGTTGTGGAGCACAGGCTCTGGACGCACAGGCTCAGCGGCCACGGCTCATGGGCCTAGCCGCTCCGCGGCATGTGGGATCCTCCCGGACCGGGGCACGAACCCGCGTCCCCTGCATCGGCAGGCGGACTCTCAACCACTGCGCCACCAGGGAAGCCCTAAAAATGACCTTTTTAAAAGTAACTTGTTTTATTTCAACATATGTGTTTGACCCACACTGAGTTCATTTGTGTATGGAATGAGGTAGGGATCGAGTTTTTTTCCCCAAGTTGCTATACCATTTCTTTCTCAACCCCCACCTCCCGCCTTTACTGAGATACAACTGACAAAATTTTAAGATATTTAAGGTGTAAAACGTGATGATTTAATGTACATTGTACACCATTCCTTGAATAACTCTTTTCCTGATTGTAAACTGCATTCCTAAATTCCTCCCACCCAGCTGAGTCCCTGTCTTAATGCAGGACAGACAGCTGAAATTCAAACACCTCTTTGGGGAGACCAGATAAGCAGGCACACTGTGGGACAATACGTAAGGGTATAAGTCGATAGACTCTTTGGATAGGGCAGCAGTGATCAAAGCATAGAACTTTTTTGATGGGGCTTAGTGGTTTTCTATGGGGCATGGGTTCGAGAGGAGGACAAAGTGGACATTTTGTATCGTCTGCAAATTGTTTTCAGAAACCCAAGGTTCGGTCAACAAAAACATAGAGTGGCGATATTTTATACCCACTTATAACCTTGGGGCCTTGTCACCTCACCACGGGGGCCTCCCAACTTCTGATGCGGTCAAAACCCTGGACGATGGGTGTCTGCTCGAAACCACAAATAATTCACGGGAGTCACATCCTTTGCTCACATTTAATTTTTATTTTGATTTTTTTAATGCTGCACAACACAATATTTATTTCATTTGTTTCATTTATGTCATTTATTCTTTTATTTCTTTATTTCTGTTTGCTGCTGTTATTTTACTTACTTAAAGAGAGAGGGAACGTTTGTGGCCTTTTTTTCTTTTATCTTTTTCTGTAGGCCGCCTTAAGCTTTCTAAATTTGGAATATTTAAGCAAGCTGAAGGGTAAAGGGGGTTTCGCAAAATCACTTGAGGGAAAGGAAAGGTTGCTTTGTTAATCATGCCCTATGGTGGGTGATCAACTGCGTGTACAATTACGTTTCACTTTTAATTAATTGTGCTTAAGGCCTTAATTAAATTTGGAAGTTCCCTTCTTAGAGCAGCTCATACTGACGGAGGTGCATGCGCTGGATGATGTCACGGCAGTCATTGAACACACGGCGAATGTTCTCTGTGTCCACAGCGCAGGTGAAGTGAGGGTAGCAGTAGTGGCGCCCGTCTCCACTAGCAGTGCTGATTCTCTGTGGGCAAAGAAGGAAACTCGGTCAGTGCCGCCTCTCCAGTAAGTCCCCCTGTCGGCAGTGGGGTCACCTACCAAGGACTGCCCACCAGTCATTGACGTTATGTTAAAACAAACCCAAG